ACGTATTCTTAAGCAGATGGAAATTAATATCTTAGGGTTTTGGGGTTTTTTGCTATGTAAAGTCCAGAATCTTTGAGCATCCCAAAATGCCAAGGTTTTAAAAAGTGAACTATATGGCATTTCAGTCTTGTTATTTCCTTGTGTATCTTCACCTCCCACCTCTAGGTGGAACATAAGTTTCCTCACAAGCTTTGAAAGATACATGTAAGAAGTTGAGATTTATAGGTTGGTAAGATGAGTCAAAAAGAATTTTAAAAGTTTTGGAAGGGTCATCCTTTTGTTACTGGGAACTCTCATATCTTCAAGGCATGTGGTAAAACCTTTTCTGCATTTGCCAGAAAGCAAATTTGATGGGAAAATATATGGCATAATGGAAAATACATGATTTTGAGGCATAAATTGTCACAGGTGTAAAAAGAGAAAGTGTGGAATCAAGGCTGCCTAACAGAGAAGCTTATCGGAACCTCAGCTCTCATGATAGGCTGTAATGAAACAACCAGCCACCCTGCTGGGTCTATTCCCCTGAAAAGTAAAGTTTGGTTTAGTTGGGGTTTCTTAAAGTTAATATGTCATTTGCTGTATGTTAGTAAAAGTGAGCTTACTCTCCTAAATCTGAACTTGGTTTGTTCTCTTGATTCATAAAGGACTCCTTTCACATATGTTAAGTGTCACTGTAGGCTAAAAAAATCACTGGTGCTTCTTCTAAGGTGGTTAAAGCCTGACAGTAGACTTTGCAGCCAATTTTCTATGGCTGTCACTTCACAGAAGATGATCCTGGTTAAGAAAGGTAGGGAGGGGTGCATCCTGCCTTTTCCTTGAAAGGGACGGAAGGCTACAGCTGGCCAAGAGCACTGATGCTCAAACAGTGTTCACAGATGAGTAGGACCTGAAGAGGTCATGAGAGGAGATTAGGTCCAAACAATACCCTCATGTGTAGAATGGTACCACCATAAGCGCACAAGCTGAGTATGAGTTAAAGGCTGGTGTTAAGCTGATAGGAGTCCAGGAGAGAGAGCAGCATGAAGACATTGGCCTCCTCTGTAAAAGGATTTCCAATTATTTATGCAAGAGGAAATAGCTCATATGCATTCGTTAAGCATTTCAGTTAAGTGATTGCTAAGAAAACATCTGACTGTGTCAGGAGTTCCTACATCAAACAAGGCACAAACCTGAAAGCTGCTACCTCTCACCAGAGAACAACAATCCCCTTTCTCCTGTTCATTTCAAGGACTATTTCCTTTCATCTTACTTCCCTGCCAAAGTGAAACCAATTTTAGTAACATAGCTGTTGGAGAAAAATCTAGAGTTTCTGTAGTTACAGATGTGCCAGGTCTTAGCATATCTTGGCATATCATATAAAAAGCTTTAAAAAAGCTCAGATAAGTAGTGGTCTTCCTTCTTCAGGACTTAGTCTGCTTCACTCTACCCCGCTCCACTCCAGACAGGGAGAGCAGGAAATTTGAGTACATTCACTGCTCTTGATGTGCCAGCACTGGTAGTATCCCCCAGAGAGGCACGTATTAACTCCCGGTGTGCTGCAGAGTAAGAGGGAACTGCTTCCCTTTGCAAAAGCACCACAAGTGTTCTGCCTGTTTAGCAGCATTCCTCTGAACACAGTGTGGCTGAAAAAGTCTCACTGAAAATGATTTATGAAGGCCTTTTTCAGCATAAACCCCAGGGAGGAAAGGGTATTAAAAACATGACATAACATAAACGTTTAAGTCACTGATGAGCCCATAGGCACACAGGCCTGGGGTCTCTATAATGATTTGTCAGTGAAGAGAAGGAAGGTGAGTATGGTATCACTGGGGTAAGGTTGTGACCCAAAGCAGAAGACCAGCAGTGACTGTCCACATCAAATGCCTATAGTTAGGAAGAGCTTACTTGCTAAAGAAAATGTGGGTAAACTCAGCTAACAGCGAAAGGCTTGGTTATCCAGTATTTTCCACATAGTTCAAAAAGGTGAAGTAGTAGAGGTTTACAACCACTCCAGCCTCCTTATAGTATTGGAGAACCAAAGGCTGATGTCTTCTTGATGCACTTCTACTAATTTGCCATTCTGATACAATAAAAATACAAGTTATAACTGAATAATTCAACATTTACCCTTAAATAGTTAAAAATACAGGAAAACGTAAAGGCAAGACTTTCAGACTCAAAGCTCCTCAGTTCTGTGTCTTAGTCATGAGTTGCCCAGGTCCAAGGTTGATAAAATATTCTGTTTATTGAATATCCTGAACAAAAAGATGTTCATGTATGATGCACTGCCCACTGAATTTTGTCTTTCCTTTTGACTCACTAGCCTTTGGATCACATTCGCACTTTGTTCTATTACAGAAAAGCAAGCATGTATCAACAGAAAACTTCAAAATTTATTACAGTAGAGGTCAGGTGCAAGAATTTCATTACATTGGCACTGTTCCCACTTGTGTGAGGATTAGCTGAGGCTGAGATGTAACAATGCAGCCTCACCCCTGTTTAAATTACTGAAGTCTTCAACTCCAAATGTCAGTTTCACAAATGGAAAGAGTACCACAAGGAGGTGAAAACGCAACACGGGGACTTGGAACTACTTTTGGCATTTCATTTTCTCTGTTTTTCTCTGTAAGTTAAAATGTATTTGATTATTTACCATTGCCATACATTTAAAGGATGACCTTGAGATACACTCGATAATCTGGGGGTGGGGGTCTAGAGGGCTAAAAATCAATATAAAATGCAGTAGCATGGAATATTTACAGTTGGGTTCTTTAAAATTTCTCTTGAATGTGTAGAATTTCAGCAGGTATCTTAGTATGCATATAGAGCTGTAAGTAGATAAAAGAATGAAAGCAAAGTATTTGGAAAACTGTCATCTCAAAGATTAAACATGCAGTGTCTGACCCGATTTTATGCCTTTTTTTAGCCTTAAGATTAGATATGAGGCCAGTAAACGATCCATTTTGCCTATTTTTCTCCCCTGAGAGACTCTTTAGGAAAAGACTCATAAGGAAGCATATATTAATTGTTTATTAATTTTTTATTAATTATTCTGTGTTCTCATTGTACTGCAAAGAGTCTTTGAAATAACACCTAGAAATCCAGAAGATTGCATTATTTCATTCTTCCTGTCACGTTTCATGTTGTTCAATGCAGATGAGTATAAGTTTCTTGTGTGATGAGTACTTGCTGTTAATAATCCAAAGGATATAAGCGCAGGGTCTTACAACTCAAACCGTATTGGGATGCAGAAAATATGAAAATATATCACTCTGTAGGAAGAATTTTGCAAAATACCTAATGTTACATTACAGGCTTTTATGTATACACTAAATTATATGAAAATACAACTTTGGTTTTACAGGTAAGTAAAATCAAAAGAAATTAATTAATGTGATTCTTAAGAGTTTGATAGAGGTACTCCAGTATACCTTCTTCAAGAATCATTAAAGTTTTATACATCCAAAAGCAAAGACACAGGATAATAACTGTTTCTAAAGAGTAATATTAGTATGAGACCGAAGGCTGTGTTTGGTTTTAGTAGGGACAAAACCACTCCTCAAAATCAAGGTTATATTACTTGACCAAGTAAGAGAAATAAGCCCAAACTAGCCTGAGTATTTAATCACAACAAAAAAAAAGGATTTGATTTTCCCTCTGAAGAAATTTTGTGTTAGAAATGTTGTCATCTTCATACTTGCAAACTTATATAGTTAAGATTTACTAATAAATATACAGGTAAAGACAGGAAAGCAATTAATTTTCTCCCATGATTATTATGATTTAGGACATCAACATAAAGGTATGCAAAGTGTCCTGGGTTCAGCTGTAAAAAGCTTTATTTTCTGCCTGACAACCAGTACATAAGAAAGACAAAATCGCCTTGAAAATAAAGAAATAATAAAAATATACACAAAAAGCTGAGGAGAAAATGATGTTGAAAAAATGCATTCCATTCATTATTAATTTTCCTTGTTTATTCTAAAGATATTTCAGTTTATAGAGATGATAGAATTGTATAATCATTTAGGTTGGAAAAGACTTTTATTATAGTAGAGTCCAACCATTACCACAGCACTGCAAGATGACAACTGAAATATGTACCTAATTGTACAAGAACTTGTATTTAGACAAAAAAAAAAGAACATAAATTGAAGACTAGGTAGAAAGCAGTAGGAGAGCATAAAATACGGTAATTTAAAACTGTTAACTGACAAACAAACATTCTTACCATAAAATCAGTAAGGTAAAAAAATACTCTATGCAAATGAAAAATGAAAAAGCATAGGAATTTCAAGATGGTTAAAGAATGTTGAACAAGGAATGTACATGAAAATGAGGAAAGGAAAGGAAAGGGAAAGGAAAGGAAAGGAAAGGAAAGGAAAGGAAAGGAAAGGAAAGGAAAGGAAAGGAAAGGAAAGGAAAGGAAAGGAAAGGAAAGGAAAGGCAAAAAAAAAAAGATCCTAGATAAGAAAAAAAAATGAAATCTTCACCCAGGAAAAAAGTAATACTTGGTAGAGTATTAAAGTACAGTTATATTGCAAATGTCCACAACTCACATTTATAAAACTGTACCAGGTAGAAAGAATATAACAGCACTGGAGGAAACAAGCACACAGGCTGAGGCAAATACCAAGACAGAGGCTGCACCCATGTCACCAGCCTGCCAAGGGAGCTCACTGAAGGTGTCTGCCAGGAGCAAGGCGACGAGCACCACCTTCCCAACACGCAGGCCCGGCACCACTGGCATCAGCATGGACACAGCGAGCGGCACTCCTGCCTCCCTGTCCCTCATGCCCACCTCAGCAGCAACGAGCCACTCCTCCTTCTCATCCTCTCCCGTGGGCTTCACAGCTGCCACTCCCACCCCACAGAAAAGCAGCACCAGTGGCAACAGAGAAGAGGAGTTGGCAGCCACATCCCACCTGTCCATGGCACTTGCATCCTCTGCTTCCTCCTCCACTCCTGCTGCTACAGGCACTGTGTCAACAAATGCTCTGACACACGGTCCAGCTCCCAGCTCAGCGGCAACAAGCCATTCCTCCTTCTCCTCTCCTGATGGCTTCACAGCCGCCACTACTACCCTGCAGCAAAGCAGCACCAGCGGCACCACCAAGGAAAGCTTGGCCACCATATCCCACCTATCCACAGCACTCGTGTCCTCTGCTCCTTCCTCCACTCCTGCCGTTACGGGCAATAGTAATTTTCTTTTAGTATATCTTTACTTTTTTCCAAGTTGCTAAGTGTCTGCACTAATGTGTCTTTTTTTTTTTTTTTTTTTACTGGAAAGGTAAAACAAAATGGAAAAGAATAGAATGAAGCTTTTTTCTGTTCTGCATCACAGAAAACCCCAAGCCCAAACCAAAACTGGTGCTGTTTTCTCTTTTATAGCATAATTGTATTCTAGTTTGAATGCAGATCTAAGGAGTTAATTGTACCCTGATTGTGAGTCATAGCTCTGTCATAGAATTAAGTGGGAGATATGGACATGCATAAGGTAAAAGTTGGTGTTTCACAACAGCTCAATGTCTAAGTGGAGACCAGTGATGAGTGGTGTTCCCCAGGGGTTGTTATTGGAACTGGTGCTGTTCAACATCTTTGTTGGTGACATGGACAGTGGGGTAGAATGTACCTTCAGCAAGTTCACTCATTATACTAAGGTGTGTGGTGCAGTCAACATGCTGGAGGGAATGGATGCCATCCCAAGGGACCCTGACATGCTTGAGTACAAACTTCATGAAGTTCAACAAGGTGAAGTGCAAGGTCATGCACATGGGTGGTTTGTGAAAATAAATAGTATAAACTTGGTGAAACTTTAAAAGAAATTCTACTCATTGTTTCCAAACTACTATTTTACAGTACAGATGACCACAGTCCCTCCAAAAAGTGCTATGGCTAGATTTACAAGATCCACAGCTAATCCAATTTTCACCACCACATTTGTATCAGGACCTTGTAGTAAGTAAATATTTGATATTCAATACTAGGGAAAAAAATATTTAAGGTGAGTTATTAAAATCAGATACAATATTCTTGTTTATCAGTCAAATCAGCTGTGAAATAAAATCTCTGGATATAATTTCAGAATTGGAAACCTGAGAGAACCACCAAAAATATATAATCAAATAATGTACATTAATGTATGATTTACATCTATAGAGCAAACAGTTTATTTTTTGCTTTTGTGGGAGAATGAGGGGAAAGGACGAAACAAGCCCTACAAAAACTTACAAAAAACGGTATTAGTTTAATTTGCAATTTTTTGCTTCAATATTAAACGTGTAGAATTGCAGAAGCTAAATGAACCACCCTCAGCTGTATGGAAATTTTTACTTTGCAGTGCCAGTGTCCATCGAAGTTCAGAATGTGACTGGGGGTGCAATACAATTCATCTGGACTAGTGGCAGGAGAGGCAGCCTCCACACCATCTCCCTCATGGATGGAAATCGGGAGATAAAACAACTACAAAAGAGACAAAAACTGTGTTTGAACATTTACTTCCTGGTCATGTATACACGGTATCTGTGGAAGCACAGTCTTGTGCTGGGGATAGCAGGACTTCAGTGAGTGTTCGAACAGGTATTTCCACAATCATTCTGTGATTTCTTTCTAATGACTATACACTAAAAATATCTTTTTTGCAATATGATTTGGATTTAATTTCATAGACTATTATTCCTGTAAGTCATCTTCACTTATCTGACTCATCCCCTCACTTGGATAGGGCTACTTGCATTAAACAGAAGTTTACAAGAGCAAGTACTTATTCTGTAAAATTTATGACCATGCTCTATTTCTAAACCAGATAATTCTGTATGGAAGTCAGGATATTTTGACTGTGAATTTAACAGTAAATATTCTGCTAGCATTTGTGGTAGAAATTCTGGTGAAGTTTAGGTTGTACATGCTTTTGTGAATGCAGACAGTCCTTAATTGTCATTGTCATCTTTTAATTTCATCCTAGGACATAGACATTAAAACAGGCTGTTTAATTGTTATTTTCTCTTCAATGCTTGTGCTGCCAGGTTAGGGGAGGCATTTTTATTATTAATCCTCAAATGCACGACTTTGAGCAAATGTCATCCCAGTGCTGCATCTCCAACCTTAGCTTCAACCAATTCTTTCTGGAAGAGATCTCAATTCTCCCCTGTGTTAATGGCACCTTCTAACTTTGTGTCATCAACAAATTTTATGAGCAAACACATGCAATTGCTGGCAAGGTCTATAATGGAAATGTTGATCAAGTTCTACAACAAGACTGATTCTCAAGGAACACCACAAGTAATATCCCACTAAAGCAAGCTTTATTTTTTTAAAGCTGCCATCTCCCCATTAGCCAATTTCTTTAGACAAACCTTTTTCCACTAAAAATTCACCACTTGGCATTGTATAGTATTGTTTTCCTAACTCTTCCTATTGGAAGAGATCTGAAAGTCAGCTTGTCAAAGGAAGCTACTAGGTTATTTTGGCATGATCCTCTTTTGGTAGAACTGTATTGAACTTTATCATACTTGGTAAGCGGTTGAGAAAATGTTCATGATTTCTTTTAATATCTTTGGAAAGTTCTAACTTGCCTTTTAGCAATTGTTGCTTTCTTTCAGCATTTCTTGACCTAAAATATAACTGTCTTTTTTCGTAACCCTTTTTTCCGTTCTCTAGTGAATTGTCTGATCATTCTCAAAACCTTTCTAGGACAATTATTCCAGCAGTTAAGTGTGGGGTTCCTCTTAGTGACTTACCCTCTGTCTTAGGCTTTAGAACCACAGAACCAGGGAATTATTATTTCCATTCAAATCTTTCAATATCTCAGTCCAGTGGCTTTCATTTATTAGTTTCATTATTTAAAAAAAAACAAACCCACAAACTTTTGTTTTGTTTTGCAATCTGGAGGCATCTGCCCTACCAGAAAAGCATTTGAGAGCCAATTAAAAAGAGCAATAAAGACCAAGTCACCTGGAATTTATGTGGAGTTAAATTATGTTCAACTCTGTGAGGAGAACTAGTGCTACGCCCAGTGAGCTAACCATGTAAAAACTGCAGTACCACTCTTTACTACTGTTTTGAACCATTATAAATAATTCAAATTAGCCAGTCCAGACAAGAGTACTGAGGTTTTGAGACTCCATGATGCATATTGTTTTCAAATGAAACTGCAGGTGACTTTTATTTCTGAAAAGTCTATCTAGTTTACCTGAGTTGCACAAGCACGTAACAGTAGCACCTGTATCTTTAACTCCCACAAGAAATTAGAGTTCTCAACATTATGTCACTAAAGTTCTCAAATGCCACCTATCCACCCACCACCTGCCTTTCTTTTGATATGCTCCATTTTTATAATCTGCAATTCTAAGTTCTCCAGGGCAAAAAGAACTGCTGCTTAACTGATTCCTTGGCCATGATTAAATGCTTTCTCCTATTTAATCATTTTTTTACTAGCAACAACCACACATGTACAGAGGCAATTATCTTGACTTTTAAATTTATTTTACAGATCCTGTTTCCTGTTTCAACAGAGCTGAGTTTTGCTTACCATAGAATACTGCCTGTCCTGACTTAAAAGATATGGTATGCTCATGTAAGTTTTACAGAATTTTAAAATTTGTTTATTCATAACTATGGGATGTTATTTCACAATATATAATGTCTTTCATGAGTATTTTGCCATCAGCTTTATTGTGTCAATTCACATAGCGCTTGAAGTTCACACTTTTTTTGGTAAGGAAGCTGCCTTCATCAAACTTCAGCATCAGATTCCAGTTCTATTTTTAGTCTGGACTATTCTATGTAAAGCATACTTGTTTTGGCTTAGGGCTTATCCACCTCCTCAAGAGGATTTAAACATGCTCAGTGCCTTGGAAAATGTAATAAACCAATCTTGTTTCTGCTGAAATCAATGGGAGAGTGGCTGTTGACTTAGGGAGATGCGTCCTGAATAATACAGGAATGACTAACAAATTGTGAGAATTGTGACGGCTGACAGTTGAAAAAGAGATTCAACTCTGGAGGTTCAGAATCTAGTACACTAGACATATATGATACACTTTCTTATTATTTGATTAGTTTCTGATTTTATCAAATGGTATTAGAAATACATGAGAGAATAAAGTCCAAAAAGCAATTGTGGAGTGACATCCTGAGATGCACCTAATTATTTCTTTTTTTTTTTTCCGATTATCAAGTATTTCCCTGCAGTGTTTTGTTAAAAGCCAGACATTTAATCATACACTTTATGACTCTGAAAGTAAAGATTGCAAAACAATGTCTGAAAGTATCAAAACAGAAGTAAGTTGTTGCAATCGTCTTCGCCATCATGAATGAACTAAGAAAAGTTTTATGATTAACAACATAGTCTCCTAGATTCATTGTTAAATCAGTATTGTGACAGGAGAAAAATATAATCCCTCAGGAGAAAAAAATAATCCCTCCTTGATAAAAGAGTATAGGAAGCACAACAACTGTCTTGACTGAAGGACAGAAAGGCTGATGTCCCATAAGGGGTATGTTCTCCGTTTCTCAAATGTCAGATATTTAGTGAAAGGCACTTTAAAATTCTCTTTTTGCAAGCACAAGGAACACCCCATCTGTTTATTTTCTTCCATCTCACTAAAAACATGCCTTCGAGAAGGAAAAAGAATAGTACTCAAAAATAAAATTTCAACACATACTTGGAAATATGAGACCTTTACAAGTGCGCAATGTTTGTCCAGATCAATGTCATTTTGCTTCGTGGTAGCAGTTGCAAGACTGGAGAAAGTTTTGAGGGGCCCATATCAGGGTGGAACTAAGGAAGGGAAGTGGAAGCTTACAGAGCCTGGGTGAGCCTAGTAAAGCTGACATGCAGAAGCAGCTGTCTGCCACTTAGCTGTCTATATCAGGATGCTAAAGAAAAGGACTAATAATTTACACATCTCTCAGGAATCCTGATGTATAATAAGCCTGTTGGAAAGGTAAAACTACTGTAAGATTGGGGTAGACTGCTTTTCAATAACTGGCATAGAAAATTGTTTTTTTAGTATATCATACCTCTTAGCTAAGAATCTCCACAGATTTCATAAGCAGCACTTAATTTGTTCTCATAACACAAAGTCAGAGGTAACCTTGTCTTTTGACTGCTAGCATCTCCATTTCATCGTGGTCAAAATTTATTTTAGTAAATTTAAGAGGCTTCCTCCAACCTCACTAAATGAGACAAGAATCCTGTTATTGTGTTTTAATAAGATTCACTCAGGTCTTGTGCACTATGTCAGCATGACCTTTATTACACTTTTCTTTATAAAATGGCTAAACCAAATAGTGGCTGTACTAACATCACTGAAAATTATGGTGAATGCTCCATCCCTGACAGTGTTCAAGGCCAGAGCCTTGGGCAACATGGTCTAGTGTGAGGTGTCGCTGGCCATGGTAGAGGGGTTGGAACTAGATGATCTTTAAGGTCCTTTCCAACCCAAACCATTCTATGATTCTATGATTCTAAAATGTAGTCAATTTCTGTGTTGGCTTTTAATGCGAACTTAATGTGACATGCAGTTTGGGGTGCGGGTTTATCCCACAGAGAAAGATGAAGGTAGACAACTCAGCAGTGACTCAGAAACAAGGTTCATTATCATCCATGAAACACAGTAATCTTTCAGACTTTTCAGGTAAAATATCACACTTATCCGCAGCAAGAATATACCTTTTTCTTAGTGGGTTGAGTCAAATACCTAATTTTCTGTAAAGATTAGTCCTGACAGAAATGTTTCAACCAGTCTTACATAGTTAGAAGGGAGGACTGCTTGTTCTTGCCCTATATCCACATGAGCACTGGGCAAAACTGTACTTTTGGAGACATCAGTGTAAACCTAAATCATTTCAATTGGTGTAATGGGATTATACTTAGTTTGTGATAGAATGACTGAGAGACAAATCACATCCTTATCTGTACAGTTATTGTGTAATGTCATGATTTTGATGATCTGGTGACAAAGCATTTTACCTGTTCTAAACCTCTAACATCAAGCTTTTTGCTGTTAGTGTGTGCATGACTATGCCTGAAGTTTAGCTGCACATGTTGAAAAAGCTAGGGGACACTGAAGGTATCTTTAGAAATGTTAGGTGCACTTTGTACACCTAACACCCAATAATTTCAAATATTGTACAATCAGGGTCCCACATGGGTTTGTAGCCTCTGGAGGACGATTGCTAGTTTCAGTGCATTATTCATTGATAACTAGGTAAACAGTTTACTGCTTTGAAAGTCAAACTTAGATTTCATATTTTCAATCACAAACTATGCATTGTTCCAGAATCCTCCTTCAGTAATTTTTTTAGAGAATTATAAAAATGGAAAAAATAAATATCCTGCTGTATGTTGATGCATGCATCCTGTGCTGCCTCAGTTGACTGACATAGGGAACAAATACTGGTTTCAATTTACACAGGTTGTTAGAGAAATGCGCATTAGACTGAAAGATGACCAGTTCAATATCATTATGCTTGGATTCAGACCTGGGAGTGTGATTGCTGATTTTATTTCTCTATTGCAAACCCAAGACTCCATTGGTGTGAATGTTATGCAGACACACTTAAGTCAAATACTGAAGAGCAAGTCTGGTGACCAAACTGAAGTAACTATACCATGTAAGTGTTGTTGAAACAGCTTTTCTGTGATGGTGTGGGGATTAAAGGGTCATATCACCTGCTCTTCACAAAAGATGATAAATTAGTTTCTTTCTTTTAAAAGATTCAAGTATTTCAGATGACCTATTTAAACAGTCACAGAATAGATAGTCTAGATGGCATCTGTTTTAAAGAGCTACAACATACACCCAGTTCCAGACTTAAAGGGTTGGTGGGCTCTCTTCACATAACAGGAGGGCTAGGTGAGCTTCTTGTTGTAGCGTGTATCACCTTTTTACCCTCCATGATGATCTTAAATGATTGGCTTTCAGTGCAGAAGGGAATGAGGAGACTTATTCTGTAGTGGCATCTGTGATACTTCCCTCTAGATAGAGATGTGATGGAAGGGTTCAGCTCTTCTGCTGGACAATCGTCTTTGGCCCCTGCTTCCTTGGCAGAGGTGGTGTGGGTTTAGCAACACAAAGTACTGCAGAGATGCAGAGAGGCTTATAGGTAAAGTAGAAATTGGGCAGGATATTAATCCAAAATACAGTATCTGTCATGCTCATTGTAGTGGTAATATGCTTATTGCCTTGAGCTCCTACGAGCTGGTGGCTTTTCATGCAACACAGATGCTCCTTCTGCTCCAGTTAATACCCTTTCTTCATAAAACACTGGCTAGCAGTATTATTTTGTCTATGTGCCTTTCCACCATTACTACATGCATTTCTACCACAGAGATGAGGTGTGCTTACATGTGCTACAGACCTTTCATTGCCTTTATCTGGAAATCAGAAAGCTTTCTGGTTTTGGCTTACCAGTTTAGAGACTGGTTTCAGTGGACTGTCTTGTGGAGCAAGTAATGGGAAGTGTGAGTACATCTGGCAGATCAGGTCCTGATTAATTTCACAGAGTTCCCTGTGCAAGTATAAGGAGGAGTGTGAGGGTTAAATTATGTACAGCTCCATTTCACGGCCCTTTTTCACACTTTGGAGCAACTCTTTGTTGAGGTACAGACTGGAGCTCCCTCATCACAGAACCTTCTGGATATTTTCCATCAAGCAAATCCTCAGAACTGATGATTATGGATGTCACCAGTAGACCACAGGGATGTTCATAGAGAGGGGTCCATAAAATTTTCAAGTTATCAAATCTTTACTACATACAAAAATATTTTTAATATCATTCAAAATTT